GGGTGGCCCGAAGTCGAATGCTCCGTCGTGGTGTTCGCCCTCGGCCTCTGCGGACTCACCGACAGCGGCGGGTGTGACGTCGTTCTCATCGTCACCTCCCTGATCTGCCTCGTCGTTCGTTACCATCGCCAATACTTCCGAAAAGTGCTCCTTGAGGTCGTCTATCGTAGGGCGATGCCTGTTACTCCGAAGCTTACCATCACTCACTAGGTACGGGATGTCGTCCTTGACCTGCAAGTGCACGAATCCCTGCTTTGGCGTAACCATGAAAGGTAGTTTACCAGGCATCCAGTGAAATGCATAACCCATCTTCATGCATCTCCTCCCCACTGACAATACCGTGGGTGTCTCATCCAATACATGCGGCTCGACAGTCTCGTCCAACTCGTCCACGACTATCTTGGCCACATCAGACGTGGAAGTGGAACCATTCGCGGTCTGGAACACGATCTCGTCGTCATCTTTCACGATGTCGACACCCAGGCTCTTCGCCTTGGCTCTTCCGATGAGATCATGACCACATCCGGTGTCCATCAACCATTTCACCCGTTTGCTGATGCACGTTGACATGGCGAAAACGTTCTTCGGCATACCATGCTGCTTCTTCCAGTCGACAGCCGATTCCTTGATCTCGTCCTTGTTCCGATCATACTCGAACATTATGCTGCTCACCGGGAAGTAGTGCTTCTTATATACATCATCCACCACTTCTCTCAGTATCTTCGCACGTATCAATGATCGTTGGACTTGATAGGCTGATAATTCACGATGATCACTGCTTTTGAACTTCTTCTCGTCGACGTACACGTACTGATAAGGCTCATTCTCATTGTCCTCATAACCGTACCATTCCCCTTTTCGTTCCCATTGCCTTCTCTCGTCTTCGAGGTAGGTGATCTCCCCATTCTCGTCGACGTCGAGCACTTCCTTGAACCACACCATTTTCTCGGGGATCTCGGACTCGCCAGACCATCTCGATGATTCGCTCATCACGTCGTCATCGTGCTCGTGGTAGATAGTCTCGGCTTCGTCCGGTTCGACATGATCAACGTCCTTCTTGAAGCTTACCTTCCCCGCAGGAGCCGATTGCTTCAGGACTATCGCAGGAATCGCGATGGCCCTCCTCACAATGGCAGGCGCTGCGGCTTTGGCGGCAGCCTTCGACTTGGCTTGTGTCTTATCACTTGACGTTGCTGGAGCTGAATTGTTCTTGATGAGCTCATGTCTGTACTTACAAGCGCTTCCCCTATCGCACTTCCCCTTCTGAAACGCGAAGCATGCTCCATCATCTCTCTTTGGTGACGATGATCTGGACTTGGATTTGCCCTTTCCTTTCCCCTTGGACATGCTCTCCAACTTGTGCTCCGTCTTCTTGCTGTGGGAAAAAGTGCATTCATTTCCTTTCACGCACCCCTTCGCCGATTTGAAGTGGTACCAGCAGGGGTTATCCTTGCTTCCGCCCGGACTCTTGCCTCTGTCGCTGGCACCGTCGGACTTGCCGTTCTTGCCAGCGTGGCCCTTTGCTTTGGCCTTTGGGAGCACAGGAGCGGCATCAGGTCCACCGGGTTTCCCCTTTCTGCCCTTGCCACCCTGATTCTCCTGTTTGCCAGTTGCTGGAGCCGCATCCTTCCCGCCTGACTTCATCATCGACTTGACCGATTTCTCCTTCATGTCGAGCATCAGGTCTTCCCGATCTGCCTTGATCTGATAGTCGATCAACGCCAATAAGAATTCATACGTCTTCTGAGGATGCTTGTCCGGTAGTCTATGGTAGGCATTGAGGCCGAACTCCATCTTCTTGCTCCCTTTGATCTTCCTGTAAAGGATGTCTCTGAGAGCCAGCTTACTGGGTCTGTCCTCGCTCCTCATCTTCAGCAGCAAATCATACCATTTGTTCCTGAACATGACCAAGTTCTTGTCGCCAGGAAAGTCAAGGTTGAATAGATGCTCGATGTGGTAGACAAGATCCGTTCTATCGGAAGTTCTGAATGATTGCATAACTAATGCCACCAACTCTCGTCCCTTCACGATCACCCCTTGTTGATGTCGTAGTTCAGAGTGTCGTGTAGCATCGAGGTATACGTCCTTGGCTTCGTCAGGTGCTTGTTTCAGCATGTTCTGCATGCCCATGGCCATCTTAATATCTATCGTAGCAAATCTGTCGCCACCTGAATCGCTAAGCAAATCCAGGTCTGGGTTCAACCCAAGAGCCTGCTCCAGCCATTTCGTCCATGCGTCGGTATCTGGATCTGCACATGCGCTCAGAACATTCATCAGCAGTTGCATCTTCCAGGTGTCAAGTTGATGGATCTTTGGCCAGGCCGGAATAGATACTCTCTCGGCCTCTTTCCTCGAGATTCTCGGTCGATCATTCTTGATCTCTCGGTTATCTCTCGATCTCCTTCGTCTCCTCCGTGTCCGATCGTCTTCTTCCTCTTCTTCTTCCTCGTCTTCCTCATCTCCTTCGTCGTCGTCATCCCCATCCTCATCATCGGGTGGATCATCCGGAGGTCCTCCTCCGCCACCAGCGAGGCTCAACTGACGTCGACCCGCTCCCTGCCCATTCCCATTGGGCGGGAATCCACCGTAATCCAATGGGGGCGTAGTACCGTTGTTTCCCCCCTCCATCACCACCACCAGTCGTAGTAGTGGATTGTGGGACATGCCCAACAACCCCTTGCATCTGGGATAGGTGTACATCGATCATTGGATCACCGAAAGACGGAAAAAGGATCGAACCTGGCATCAGCGACGAATTAGGGATTTGATTTGAAGACGATGACGGGACTGACCCAGCCACCTTCTTGTCTATCCTATTTGAATTAGCCTGGGTTCCTCCCTCAGCGCGTTTCACTACTGCTCGTTCACGATGTCCATCTTTGCTGCTGGAGGCTTCCTGCATCTCCAGCTTCTTGTGTGCACGTAGTTCCTCGTTGTCAGCATCGAGTTGGCGTACAAAACTCTCTTCTTGCTTGAGCGTCGCCTCTCTTTCCTTCAGTTGTCCCTGAAGCTCATGCATCTCCTCGAGGTACTCATCGTACATTCCCTTAGCTGTCAGTCTCCAGTACTCAGCCTCCTTCGACTTCTCGTCCATCGTGCACCGTTCCTCTTGTTTCTCTTCTTTGACCTGGGCTAACTCCAAGATCGCATCCTGACGATGACCACCTTCGACAGCAATCATCTGGTCCTTCATCGACACGTCGGACTCATACTGTTTGACGATCTCTTCTTTTTCGCGAAGCAAGCAATCTGCTCTCTTCGATTCCTGTTCCGCAAATACTGTAACGTCATTCAGCCTCGTCATCAGCTGTTCCCTGGAGTCCTCCAAAGAGTACGTCTCGGGGCGCTTGACGAGTGCATGCTCCAACTGTGATTTCAGACTCTGGACCATCTCCTCCTCGTTGAACTTCTCGATAGAGGTAGAAGATTCTATGCCTCTGATCTGTTGCTGATAGGCTGATATCTGTTGTGAAGCCTCACGGTGTATCTGATTTGCACGTATAGCTGATTCCTGCGCGGCCGACTTCTCGCTTGCCATGTAGGATCTCATCGATGCAATCTCCCGCTTCTGCTCCATGATAGTTCCTTCAGCTTGCCTCATCTGTTGCATCATAATATTCGACTCCATGTCTTTCTTCTCCCCGTACTGAAATGCGTTCATTTCCACCTTGCGCATCTGTTGGGCTTCTTCCTCAAACTTGCGCCATGCCTCAGCCATGTGGTGTTGGTGGTGACTCACTAGATGTCCCGACTGCTTGCTGGCAATCTCGCATCGTCTTTCCAGCTCCTGGATCCGGATGGTGCTTCCATAGTCTTCTTGGTTAAGATTTGCCATTGCTGCTGACATTTCATCAAGTGTCTTTTGATATTCCCCGATCTCCACCTCCATCTTATTCTTCTCTTTGATCACGGCGCGAAAATCTGCACTGGTGGGTGATTTTGACCTCCCACCCTTCGATGTCGATCTCACGCCCTTCTGCGACGTCCGTGGTGTCGCAGGCGAAGATGATGATCTTCTCGGTGGGGATTCTCTTTTCTTCGACTCCTGATGAACATCGATCTGCTTCCATGATCTTGTGGGAGTAGATATGTCGCTGAATAGCGCGGAACCTCCGCTCCCAGGTTCATCCTGTGAATCTGCAACCATATCCATCACCGCAGGAAGAGCCATCAATCCATTGGATCCCTCTGAGCTGCTGTTCCCAAAAGTTGCAGTACTTGGGCTCGCCGAAGACGCCATTGTACTGTGTATGTTATCGTTCCTTTATTGTCCCTGTACCCGCAATAAACCAGCTGTCTCCCAGTCCAGTGTAGAGCTTGTAGTTACGGCTGATAACCTGTCAAGAGACGGCAAGGTGACGTCCCGTGGGACGCTGTGCACCGAACCCTCAAGCTTCAATACCAACCACGTAGAAAGGTGTATACGGACGATGCCGTTATAGCCGAACCCGTGTAAACGTTGTAAGGAAGAAGGAATGATAGTTACGACAGTGGTCCTGACGAATGCAACGCAAGCAGTTGTTTTGCTCTTAATGCCCGTCACGTATATGCGCAGTCACACATCGGATCTTGAACCTCAATTGTGTCTTGAGCCTTGAGCCATCAATGGAACTTGGGAAGCAACACCAACAAGGACCTCAGAACAGCTACCCAATTTCGGCACGGGGCCTAGAGGGTTTTAACAGTATCTTTGATCCTTGAATCAAGCAAGCACGACAAAAACAAAGAGGGGGCCTGCCTTGCCAGGCAGGCATGGGCCGGGCTCTGTTTGATTCACATGTTCTTCGTGCAGAACTCGCCCTTGATGCGGTTGAGGTTGGGTCGGTCGTCATAAGTCGATCCCCAGCCCCAAGTGGCCAAAGCGGCCAGAACGACCGACGCGATGCAAGTAAGTCTCAGAGTTCTTGGGTGAGTCAAAGTTGATGACCACATTCACAGACTGGATATCGATGCCGAGGGTGAAAATGTCAGAAGACACCAAACACCGGCAGGCTCGGTTCCTAAAGTCGTGAAAGACACGATTTCTGTGGGATTGTTTCATGCAAGAGTGAATGAAGAAGCATGAGTACCCAAGCTCTGTGATCTTCTTTGCCAAGAGCTACACACGGGTCACGGAGTTGCAGAAAATGATAGCATGATTGATCTGCAACTTGGAGAACAAAGTGTTGAGGCAGTGAACCTTCTGCGGCTCCACGAAGGCGTAGAACTGCGAGACACCGGGTGAGCTCTTTGATCAAGTTGATCTCGTGCGCGTCAGCCATAAACCGGTTTTTGAAGTCCAAGATTGTGGTTGGAAAAGCTGCAGAATACATCAGGATCTGTCTGTCTGGGGTCAGGAACTTGATGAGGTCCTCTATGATCGGCTGGATTTCGGGGCACGGGAGCTTGTCAGCTTCATCCATGGCAACCATGTGACACTGCTTCAGGTTGCAAACATTCCTGTTGGCAAGGTCAAGCACGCGGCCAGGCGTGGCCACTATAATGTGGACCTTGTTGTACAGCCGCATGATGTCCGCTCGAAGGCTTGTTCCACCTGTTGAGACCATGCATTGGACATTCATGCGCTTGCCTACGAAAGATGTCTGCAGGACCAAGATCAAACCCTGAATCGCATTCTTACTGGTGTTGCACCGCTCCAGGATGGGAATCACAAACGCCCCTGTTTTGCCAGTACCATTCGGTGCTCTGGCCAGGATGGACTTGCCCTCCAAAGCAACAGGCAACAGACTTGCCCTCCTGCTGGATCGGGAAAGCCCATCAGTTGAGGCTTCCTTAGCCCCATGCATCAGCCCCATGCATCCCCCCCAGGTCCACAACCATCGCTCCAAAAACCACGCCGAGGCACAAGTAATCCAAGGCATTCTCTTGTGTTTTCACGGCGTCCGCTGTCTTGAATCGCTCTGGCGGGCTGGGGATCTTCGCCTTCCAATCCTCAGTTTGTGTTCGGACAGGGCGCCTTTCATGTCTCACTTTTGTGGCATATGTGGCATGGGACGCGACCGACTAGACCAAGGAGCAGCGGCGTCCACCTTCAGTGGCAGGCTGTGCCGGGACACCTGGCGAGGATCTCACGGAACGGAGCGATCAACGATCTCAATTGTTGCTCGAGAAGCTAAAGCAAGCAAGCAAGCAAAAACAAAAGAAAGCAAACAAAAACAAACAAAAACAAGCAAAAAAATGAACAAACAAATCAAAGAGGAGGGCCCGCCTGGCCTAGCAAGCAAGGACCGGGCTCTGCATAATTTATTTGCGGCATGGTCTCAATGCACATCTCGCCCTCAACGCGGCGGCTGGCCCCACATAAGGGAAAATCAAGCATCAATGCCCTGAATTGCATACTTGAAGGTGTTGCATTTCTCCAAGATCGGAATCACACACGCCCCTGTTTTGCCGGCGTCATTCTTTGCTGTAGCTAGAATGGACGTACCTGCCACGGCAACAGGCAAGCTCTCCTGCTGGATCGGGGAAGGCTTTGTGAAGACCATGCTGAACATTTCGCTCTGCAGCTAGGGCTTCCTCAGCCCCATTCAGCCCCGCTCTTCATGACCAAAACCAATGCTGAGGCACTGGAATCCATCCTGGTGTGCATGCTCCTTGGGCATGCTCCTTGGGCCAGCCAATCTGCGGCTTCCCGTCCTCAAACGTTTTTGCTGGGCATCTAACTCTGTGGGCGTGGCGTTTTTGCCATTTGGTGCGGCCAGGAAGCATCCTTCTCTGCTAAAAGCCCCCGGCCACCAAAATCCCAATGAGAACTGCGGGGCATCAGCCCGCAAAGCCTGGCGCAAAGGCTACAATTGAGGCTCCCAAGCGCAGATAGAGCGAAAAGAGTAGTGTGTAGAGCGAAAAGAGTAGTGTGTAGAGCGCATAGAGTAGAGAATGTGTAGAGCGTACAGCGTACAACACAGAAGCACGGAAGACACTTCATCATTGAAAATCCTCAGACATCCAGGATATGGTATCTGAATTGTGTGCAACAATCCATCCGTGACCTGGGGAGATTTCCATTTCTGCGCATACGGCCTAAAAGATCCTGAATCCGGGCTCAGAAGTCTCAAGCCCACAAGCTTGATGCACTGCTTACCTCCCGAGGTAATGAGACCGATCTTCAGAAGGTGTAAAAATTTTCCAGCTCAGTCAAGCATGAACACCAACCCCTAGAGGGAAATGCTGGCACTTTCGGAAGCAGGACCAAACTGGCACAGGTGTATCCTTACCAGTTCTGTCAGGATCTCGGTGAAACCACTTGACAACGAGGTGTACATCTTAGAGGACCTTTTCGAACCATTCACCATCAAGCAGGTTGACATCCTGAGAAAGGAGATGGAAGCCATTGACAAGGAGTTCAACATGACCAGCAGTAAGAATTCAGGACCTGCCGTTCAACAAGGACGTTCAACCATTGGTCAGCAAGGATCCGCTAGTCCAGAATTTTCAGAAGACGATGAAGCAGTACCCACCGAAAAATGAAATCGATATCTTCAAGCAAGATCCTAATGACTGGCGATGTCAGAACATGTGGAATGGCTGCAAGAAGTTGAGACAGTTGTGCATCTCATCCACTCAGTATGATGCATGCACCGCATACGTCCACACCATCGGCATCAATATGCCAGTTACGTCACCTCCGGACGATGCGACCATATCCTTCTGGCAGCCTGATCAGCTGAGTAGAATTTGGGTCTTGCCTGCATCAAAATGAAATTGGAGCCGTTCATCAGTCGTTCACAGATGCGCCGGCTATCAGACCGATGCCCATCGAGACGGATCGATCCAACGGATCCAACGGATGAACCTCAACAACCTGACACGCAGCAGCCACCTGATCAACCGGACCATCCCATGCCTGATCCAAGACCTCCAACGCCACCGGACGAGAACATGTCAGATCCTCCTCCGGATCCTCCACATCAGCCTGATCATCCCATGCCGCCAGCACCACGCAGTGTATCACCAGACAGTCCAGTGGATCCACCACTGCCGCCACACGACAAACCGGGCGGAGGAGATGCAGCGCTTTCACGGCAAAAACAGTCCATTTCATCCTCAAGCGGACTCAATCGACTGGGGGGCGATGTCTCCTTGCCGTCACAGTCGCAATCATCTCAGCCAATTCTTCCGACTGTCGTGGTACCTTCACCACCTGCGATTCTTACGAACCCTGAAGCAGAAGACCAAGATGAAGATTTTGAACTGCCAACACTTGCGCAAGAAGAAACAATTGGCGGTCCATCAAAGAAGCAGAAGACTGGGAAGAAGAAGAAGCCAGATGACAATGATGAGTCACCTGACCAGGAAGATGGAGAATCAGAAGACTTTGAGAGGACCAGATCTTACGAAGATCACCAAGCTGATCTCGTTCTTGATGAAGCACATTGGTCACTCATGACAGCCGAACAGAAGATCTGTGCGAACACCGGATCCTTTACGGTTCCGAGAGATATTGAAGGCAACCCTGTCTTTCTTGGACGTGTGAAACGGACCTTCATCCCATCGCCCCGATGCGGATTCTCTCATCAGAAATACACAGATCAGAATCATGTTGACCAGTTATGCAAGAACATGACCGATGATGACCGTTCACTCTTAGTCTGGTATTCGTCCAAGCAAGAATCCTTGAAGGCTTCATCCACATCCGCACTCATTGGCAAGAAGCGGAAGGAAGCCACAGCGGAAATAAGAGCTTACCAGAAGCAATACCTTGAAGCTAAGCAGCTCGAGTGCAAATCTTGGCTTGATAACGAAGTGTTCGACTTAGTCGACACACGCAAGATTCATGTCAGGAACTGGGTCACTGGTCGCTGGGTCCTTACCCTAAAGCGAGACAAGGATGGTAACTTCCTGAAGTCGCTGGGTCCTCTGAGGCTTCCAAGACAAGCAGAAGAATGATCAGCAGACAGACAGTCCTGTTGCATCCAGGAGTGGCTTCCGCCTTGCAATCCAAGCAGCCTCAAATAAAGGCTGGAATATATTTCACATGGATTTGAAGACAGCATTTCTCCAAGGCGAAGCATACGATCAGACTCGTGACATCATTTGTCAGATCCCTCCTGAAATGGGATATCCACCACACATTGGAGCGCGCATGAAGAAGCCTGCCTACGGGCTGAATGACGCACCCCGCAGATGGTGGAACATCCTTGATTCGGCACTCCGTTCTACGGACTGGTGCCAACCAGGGCAGACCGTTGTACATATGTATACTACGGCAAGCAGCGTCCGAAGCCCGCATTGGTGTGAAAAGAAGTATCCAATACTTTCGATCTTGAAGGAGCAGTTGTCCTGTTTCCGGTAACAATGCCAAGAATCGACAAGCTCATGGAGCACTATCTCTTCATGTTGATGATCTTCTTATGACGGGGGATGACGTGTTCGAGAAGGAAATCATGGGACGACTTCGCAAAGATTCTCAAGTTGGTTCCGAAGACAAAAATGATTGCCTCCTCGTAGGACAGCGCATCCAATGGAAGCAAGATGACAAGCACGGTTGGTACATCAATGTCCATCAGAATGTTGCCATTAACGAACTTCAGGAGATCACCTTTGACAAACACCTGAAGGACGACACTCCTCTTACTCCACAAATGCATACTGCCTACAGAAGTGTCCTAGGTCAGATCAATTGGTTACAATCGCGAACGCAGTTCCACATTGGCTATCAATTCTCCAGGTGTGCATCCAAGGCATCATCACCGACCATTGAGGGCGTTTGCGCCATTAATAAGACAGTCAGAACCATCAAAAGCATTCCGCTTAGTATGAGATTCTGGCCCCTTCGTGGCAAGACACGCATAGTTGGTTATCCAGATGCGTCCTACCGCAACAATGAGGATAGGTCATCCCAACGTGCGCATGTTATATTTCTTGCAGAACAAAGAGATCTTCGCCAGGGCTCATCGAACTCGAGAGGCTCATTGGTCGACTATGAGACGCACAAGATCACCGCCGCAACCATGTCCACCACTGTTGCAGAGTTGCACGGACAAATGCGTTGTTACGGTTCAGCATTATTTCTTCGCGGTCGACCTGGTCAGACATAACAGGCGAAATTGCAAACGATGCACTTGATCCAGATGTTGAGAAAGGAAAGCAACAGTGGACAGATGCATGACCTTGCACATGTACGGAGTGAAGATTGTACTCAGCTAAAACAGACGAGCTCATCAAGGCCGTCCTCACCGGCAATCTCTTGAATGTTGACGCACATCTACCTTTCCGTACCATGTTGCAGAACAAGGCATTCTTGGTTGAGTGGCTAGCACACAATACGAAGCACGGACCCGACATCATTGCCTTTGCAGGAGTCGGTATAGCAGAATCCATGTTTGCTTACGGGGGAACCTGGGCATGATCCGCATGTCCACGAATACTGACGCATGAGTTTTTCCATTTTGCACATTTCAATTCCTCAAATCCGTGATGCGTGTTTTAGCACTTGACCCATTTTGAATCTCAAGAAATATGTGTCTGCCTCCGCAGCCACTTTCGGTTTACAACCATTCCGGCCTTTGCAATCTTGTACGCTCGATCACTTCGAAGACATGCCGATTCTCAACATGATCTT